TAAAATCAAACGAGGGGAATGGATCGCGGTGGTAGAAACAACAAGGGTGTAGAAAGAGGTGCTGAGGATCGATCGATCTGAATCCTACAGTAAAAAAAAAAAGACTAGATCAAGAAGAGGAAATGAGGTGATCAAGGTAGAAGTAGTACTCAGGCGTGGAAGAGAAGGAATCAAGAGATAGTTAGTAAATGATAAGAAAGAAGAAAAAAAAAAGGATGAGCAAGAAGAATGGGGACTCACCTGAATAAAAAAGGGAAACCTTATCGAAAATTGAAAGAGAAAATGGACTTGATGTGATCTGAGCAAAGTTGAGTCCAATCGGCGTACAAGTAGATGAAGAAAAAGGTGGGCCTGGTTCGTGTTCGTTTGTTCGAGGGAGAAGTGTGTGTTTTTTTTCTTTTTTTGGTGATTCATCTAAGAAAGAAAAAGAAAGAATTTGTCGTTATTAAGAAAAATAAGTCTCTGAGTGATTGATTTTAAAAGAGTTAGCGTATTATCGAGAGTGTTTGTTCTTTCGAAGAATTAAAATTAAATCAATAACGAGTCTTGTTTGAAGTGTTTTGAAGTTTGTTCTTTGGTTTGATTGTTGTCTTTAAGCTTAGTTATTCCTAAATCAAATCAGTGGAGTGATAGTGTTCTTTTAGTATCTTGAAAGATTGAAATCGGTGGTGTTTGCTGAGCTGGGACAAGAGTTCATTAGTTATTTTTTTTTATTTTTTTTATTGCTATATTTCACAATACGTGAAAGTCCTTTACACAGACCTAGCCAGATCCTTGGTTCAAATCCCTCCTAGACCTTAGCCATTTTTTTTAGAAAGTTTTTTTTCTAGTGTAGTTCTGCTAAACTTATACTAGAGTTTAGAAATTTTATTTTTCTTTATTCTATCCCGTCTCCCTTTATAAAAATTATCTAGTTTTTTATTTTTGTTCAATTAGTTTTATTATTATAAGTAGTAAAACATTACGTCTAACTCGAAACTTACTTAGTTTTGTGTTAATTGTGTGTGTACAGTTGGTAGGGTATTGTTGGATTCCGCGGAATCTTGAGGTTCTTTTAGAAATATTAGATTATTGTTACGTGATAGATTTGTGAAGGGAGAAAAGTTGTTAAGAATTGTTCCGGTGTTAATTTTTTTATTATTGAACTTTTAGTTAAAGGTTGAGGGCAGTCTACGACAACCATAGTATCATCCGTGTGGTTATTCCTTCTGCACGGTGATTCTTCCCCTCTCCGGCTCAGCCTACGCCACACAGCGTAGGAGTTCTACAACGTACTGCTTGATGAGGCAGCAGGTGAGGGTGACCTGGCTTGTTTGCTAGTTGACAATCAAACCTACAGAACAAGAAGATACCAATTGATATCAATCAATATAATCAAATGGCTTTGTGAGGGAGTCAAATCTACATACTTTGCCTTTTGACATGGGCTTAGCCAATCCTGATGCAGCTTTTGAATTGGAATTCTTGTTGTTGAGAGTAGGTCGAGGCGATGCAGTTTGAAGAGATAGGGGACCAGGGGATGGGGATCCACCCTGAAGACTTTATTGACGAGTAATAGCTGTATGTGAATCGGTTGGAGTGATAACAAACCCTGGTTGGGGGCGAGACAGACTAGGAGGTCAAAGAGTTCTAACCGGAACCTGAAGGGTACTTTGGGAAGAGGGTTGGAAAAGGTGTTTAGAGGATGGCATTGTCATGGTAAATGAAAACAATATGTAGAAAGAATGTGTAGACTTTGATTAAGTTCAATTGAAATCAATGAGACTAGACCAAAGAAAAACTCACCTTGCTTTATACCCAGGGCCAGGTCCATGTCCAAGCGTTTGAATAGATGGACATCTCAGCTGTATGTGAAGTTGTTTCCAGGGGCTGTAGTTCATTCTTCCACTGTCCATTGGGTCAAGTGGATGCTGTATTTGTAGTGGAATCATTGAATTGACTTAGGTTGTTTGTGGACCACTCCTGGGCTCCTGGGTGAAGGGTTCACTGCGCAATATCCACAATATAGCAGTGTAAAACACAATTGTGGAGCGGTTTATCAGGACCCGCGGGTTTCAACCCAGGATTGCGGTGCGCCAGCACCGCTATGTATTGCGGTGCCATTGCGTGCCCAGAAAGCGCTGTGCAACTGCACCGCAACCACTAAAAGTTGTGGTTGCGGTATTGACTCTCCTCCCTTCACAACCAACACACAACCTTCAACATCCTCAAGTTATTACACCAACCTTTCCCCCTCATGCACATCACAATACCATGTTTCCCAGGCCATAAAGTCATTTCAGGAAGTGAACAGGCAGATAATTCACAAATTAATTGGCAAAAAGATCTTTACCTAGCACATTCTCTAGCACACCTGAAATGGCAGGCTTCATCTTGGCAATCAATGAATGTCTCACAGAACAAGCCAAATAATTCACCAAGCCAAAAAGCAAGAGACTGGGACACAAGCCTCAGTCCAAGAAACACCTCAACACACTGTCCATCCTCCCCAAGCACAAAATTGCCACAATAACACCACTACACTCCGGTTCTGCACCACTCAATACTTACCTCAACCGCTTCAAACAATCTGTTGAACCGGTCTGCAAATGCCAGGAAGGCCTCAAGACCTTTGATCATTTCCTTTTCATTTGTCAAACTCACAAATAACACCAAAACACACTTAAACATGCCATTCAAAAACAACACACCAAAATGGATAAGAGAATTCTCTCAAACCACCACAGATTCAAAGCTATTTCAATACAACATGTAAATATTCTTGTAGCACATCAACATGCACACAAGCAGGTCTTTTCTTAGACCTGGTAAAGACTCAACAAAGTGGTACCACAACAGGTGCATCTTCCCCTGATCAACTGCAACATTGACTGTCAGTTGACCCCAGATGGAGACAAAGGATTCTGCAAATCCTATAAATAAATCACTATTCACAAAGGGTGAACAACAATCTCAGTCTAAATCCAACCAAAATATGTTCAGATTTGTTTCAAAACTCTCTGTGTGTGCATGTTGATGTGCTACAAGGATATCTACATGGTGATATTATTGCAACTCCACATGGAGATTTGCAAATAGGTGGATCTGGGCTAAGGCCACAGATGAACCCTGTCCGCGCAACAGACCCCAACCCTTAAAATGATTTTATTATGATTTTATTTACTCCCCACTTCACCACCTTTCTTATCACATAATAACAAACACATGTACACTAGATTAAACAGCCAACAGCAACCTTTCCCCTGACACAGTCAGAGGGGTTTTACCGGGGCTGGACATAATACATAGTGTTTGATCGCCTAACAGTTCCAAAAGCACTTTAAGCAATGCAAAAAAACACTGTCAAGATTATGGTTCAGTAGCAGGCATCATTACAGGAATCATCCAGCCAGATGATCTGAATGGCCTTTCCAAATGATATAAGACTTCTTTCACCACCAAGAAATTCCCCATGATTTGGCATTTGCTTCCAGGACAGCACTATCTAAGGAAACTTTGCATTGTTAATCCTGGTTTGTCAAAAGAAGGTGAGAGAATGATATAGGCAAGTTCAACTTTCACAACAGAGAAGGAAACTTCATTTTTCATTCCTCTACTCTTGCAAGTCTGAGAATTGTACAAGGTATTGTTAAAATTAATTGAAGGGGAATTCCCTAAGTTTTCAAGTTCTTTTATGCCTTATAATCACAGATTATCACTTTAATCACTCCAATTGAATCACCCATCCAAAAACTAAATTGCAACCACAACTTATTTACAAAAATCCCTTGTAGCTTAAGATAAACAAAAGCTTATGAAATTGGAATGCTCCAAATTATATATGCACAGACATTCTTTTACTTTGAAGTAGCTCAATAAACCAACATAAACTCATTTCAATTCATGAGGAAAAAGAAAGATTTCAAACAAGGTGAGAGTGAGACTACATCACCCCCGGTGGCATTCTCATGATATTTATGACTGGGCGATTAGATGTCTGGTTGTAAGGAAACCCAATGATCAGGACAATATAGCTTTGAGATCATAGCGGACAAAGGCAGGTGTATTGCTTACTTGAATGATGACCAAAGTGACGCTTTACGCTCGATTAGGGCTATGTTATAGTAATGTTTCTCATTCGGCATCTCTTGCCCTTCTGAAAAAAAGGCAGAACCCAAATAGATAGCCATGGCTGTCACATCGGAATCTTCTGGCCTTGCAAAACGCTTTCCACGGCTATTTGCCATCCACTGGTAATCATTCTCGAAATTTTGATTAAAACTTGCAACTCTTTCCACTGTTTGCGAGATGATATATAGTGAGTATACGTATTCCACTCTCCTTCAAGATTTCTGGTGAGTGAACAAATCAACTGACGACCTTCTGGTAATTTACCCCTATAATTGGCCCATTTATTTGCCCTTGAAATCCATTTTTGGGGCTTACCTTCGGCGATTCCGATTAACCAGATGAGTGCTGTAAAGGCTTCACTACTTTGCCCCATAAGGGCTAGCCGTGCAACTTGTTCTGCTGTTGCTTGTCTTAATGCCCATCTAGCAATGTTTTGCTCTTGAGTAAGATTGGGAACATAATGTTCCAGTTCACTAACTTCGATCGGTGTTGTTAACAATGGCTTAGATTCCAAATATTCCAGTGGTTTCCCCACACCCAGCCAGCCATATTCCTCTTCATCATTGAGCAAAGGCTTCTCCTTTTGGCATATACCTGGTATAGATAAAAATGTTAGAGAACCTCGCACTAAATAGATTGCAGGAAAGGTATGGAGGTATATCAACGGGGATATATGATGTACCTGCACACGATTTGAACGCTCTGGTTGCCGACCTCTCTGAGTTTAAGATAGGGCGTGCATGAAGACTGGATAGAAAGAGTCCAAGTAATATTAAGGAGCTATACATTCTGACAAGGAAAGATTTAAGTGAGTTACAATAGCGAACAGATCAGGCTTTCCAACACACCTTACTCTATTTTATGTCATAGCCACCTGTGTGTGATGCGCTCTTTGAAATTTAAACGATGAAACGCTCATCAATCATTGTGCCCACCTGAGATCTTCGGTTTCATGACTTGATCCCACAATCTCGTTTATTTAGCGCACATACGTCTGACAGTCCCAGTGTCACTCATACGGTGCTTAGACTTATAATTTGGTTGAGATCTTCAAGCAATACCCCTTTCCATCTTGGATACATGCGATAATATAAGAAAGATAAAGAGAAAATGTACGGCCAAAATAAAGGTAAGTCTTTCTGATCTACACTTGCATAGTTTCGAAACGGGAGACATTCAATGACGCAATTTCTTTACGACGCAGTTTCTTTAAGCACAACTAAGCCCCTCACGAGCGGGTTCGTGGGGGCTTAGTTAAGCTTGGAGTTTCTTCATCACTTTGAGCAATCCAAGTTTCAATAGTGGGTTTATGTTGGACATATCAATTGGCTTCTTGAATCTGATTGACAGCTCGTTGAAGTTTCAGGTTTCCTGTCCCTGCATCGGGATTCTTGGCAAGTAATGAGAGAAAGATCTATTACGGTCAAAAGTCTCATAGGTCTCAAGAAAAATATTCCGCCTAAAACAGTTGAGGCATCAAAGCCAATCGGTTTCCAATCAAAAGGTGGGGCGAGAAATATTTGGTGGAGGAAGGATAAATAGAACTCAGGTGCAGTTCAATAATTAGGGGCTCAACCAGGACCGCACCCCGGCACAGTCCTAGATAGGGGGGTCTAAACATCGCCCATTTTGACTAAAAAGATCATTTTTTTAAAAAGAAGGCTTGACACGTGTATCACCGCTATGTTATGGGAGGTTTGGAGAGTGCGGTCAACTAAAATTTGGCTCTCATACCTCCCAGACCTCCAAGTCTGAAAACATAGTTTTGAGTGTTTTGTGGAAAGATAATTTGTTATTTAGATGCGAAACAAAGTGTTTATGCAGATATTTTGGCAGGAATGGATTGAAGATAGCAAATTGTATATCATGAATGATTGGTACCCTTTGATTAGAACCACATTTTTACTTCAAAGCTCAATGATTATTTACCATGCAGCTACAATTCACTATCACTTTATCTGTGTTGTACTTTCTTCTGTAAACAGTAGAAAGATTTTGACCAATCAATTTGGCACCAAAAACTATATCCATTGTTCTGTTCACACCCCAAAACAGCCCATCTTCAATGTCTGTCTTGTTGAGTTGTAGGAGTTGAAGCCTCTCATAGGTGATATCTTTAGTGCATGCAGGATGTAAAAACTCACAGTTTTTATATAGATGGGGAAGATCCAAAGTCAACTTCTCATATGAGCACATGATGAACATATTGATGAGAGTTTGCAGGGTTTGGTTCAAATTTCTTCCTGGAAACACAGACAACTTGAGCCAAATTTGGCAAATCAATCTAACCTAACAAAGCTCCTCTCAGCAAGCAAGCCTGCAAGAGAGGGACTAATTGTCTTTCCACCAAATTTGGCGTGTGAGCAAGAAACTTTTGGCTGGGGAGGTTTCCAACCCATCATAACTTCTTACCCTATACATAAAATGCCCTTGGACCAAAGGAAGATCTTATGCGCCCACTCAACCTGCATACATTCATCTATCTAGAAGAATGTTTGATGCAATGATTGCACATCAATGGAAGGCTGAAGTTTGCAAAAAATCTCAAGATATCCAAGAAAGCTGTTGAACTTGTCAAAAGCTCATGCCAGGCAGGCCAGAATGTTACATGTAAACACATTTTTCAAGGCTTCCTGTAGTGCTTTCCTGAAACCCAGAGAGAGATTTGCTAGAACCAAAATGTGTAGGTTGAGTGGGCGTGCATGACCTTCCTTTGGTCCAAAGGTATTTTATTTGTAGTGTAAGAGTTGATGGCAGGTTGAAAAACTCCCCAGCCAAAAATTTCTTGCTCACACACCAAATTTGGTGGATCAGCTAAAGTTCTTTCTCTTGTAGGCCCATTTGCCAAGAAAGAGGGACTTTGTTATGTTAGCAAATCCATACACTTTTGATTGAGGCTGAAACCTGGCCATGAAAGTCCAGGGCTGGGCAGGGCACACCCCAAATCTCAGGCCTTGAGGCCAGGCAGGGCCTGGTTCAAATGGAGGAGCAAAAACTACTCAGAGAGGGGATAATTCTGTATTTCAACTCCATGGAAGCATTCAACAAAAGTAAGGACCAAATCACCAATAAAAGTTCAATAGTGAAGACAGGAAAGCCTAATTAAAAATAGACAAACTACTTCAGAACTTTATAAACTTGTGTTGGACTGATTCCAAACAAAAACAAAACAAATCTTAGAATAAGTATGAGAACAAACAACACTACGAATCTTATGATAAGATGTGTTTTAGAGAAACAGTCAGATGAAGAAGAAAGAAATCTAACTGAAGTTTGGGATCAGTTTATATAGAGAACACAAGAGACAAAAAGAATTGACATAAATGAATGATGACGTAAATGATGTAACAATTTTCATTGATAGCAATGATGTCATGTTGATTGAAGAGAAACACAAAAGAGGAAAATATCAAAGCTCATTACAATGTAATTACAATATTTGATCGCACCAAAAAGATGAAAAGACTTAGAAAGCAAAAAGAAACATACGTAATTCCAACAACTTGTGTATATGAAAATTAAAGAAAAGCTATCAGAGGTGAAAAAGAACTTTAGAAGCCTACTTAGAGCTTAGAAATCAGACAAATCTACTTGTTTGGTAACCCCTTTTTCCAGCTCTTGCTAAAAACAAAAACCTTGAGGTGGCTGGGAGTGAAGGAGGCTTGGTGATCACTCATCATTCTCAGTGCATGAGAAAAGGTGCTCTCAGACGAACTGCTTGTGGCAGGGACTGTAAGCATTGCCTTTGCCATGTGTGACAAGTTGGGCCGGTGGTGTTGGGGTCAACAGTCGGTTTGAATTTGCTGGAATATTAGTAAAGGATGCCACTAGACCCGCAGGTCCGCACCTAGGGATTCCAAAGCTTGGGATTTGAGAGTGTGAATGTTGAGACAAGGTTCCAGAATTGCAGCACAAATGTAGACAAAATTATTCTGGGAAGACTCCTGATATTGAATTATATTCTTTATCATTGAGAGTTATAACAAATTTGAGTTACTTATGTCTAGAATCAGCCCAGGCCTATCAAAATATTCATGCCATCAATCAGTCTAAATCAAATCAAAATAGAAAAAATCAGAAGAATAAAATCATTGTACTCATAGCTGGCATATTCAGATGGAAAAATTCAATCAAGGACTGTAAAACATCCAAATACTTTGGGCTCAGTGCCAAGCTTACAAGGAGAAAATTCACGGCGAGTATGTGTCAAGGTGAGCTGGAATGCTTCTCTATCAAGAGATTCCTTCCTACAAAAAATTTATAGTCATGGAGGATTGACCCTTTGAATGAGTTTTGAAATCATTGATATCCTTTTATGATTCTTTCAGCCATAAGACTTGATTGGTCTACGGGGGTACGAAGATATACACCAAAGACAAGTAATACACCACAAAATCAAAGCCTAAAGAATTAACAAAATCATTCTTAACATCATCATTGGCTTCAAGATTTTTTTAGGATATCCTTTTTTGTAGCCCAGACTATTTTCATGAAGATTTTCTCATACTTTTTTCATCAAGATATTGCCAGAAAATTCTTGAAAGACATGTGATACATTCAATACTGTGGAAGAGTGAACATCTTTGATTTGATTCTCATCCCCTGAGTTTTCTTGACTGCCCAAATCAAACCAATGCACACTGGGTGAATGCAAAGTTGACTCTGAGTAAGCATTGGTCATTTTTTGTACTTTGAATGTTAAGGGACCTTAAGTCTCCTTAAAGCTCCAAGTGTATGAGAGCATATGACCATGGGTTTAGACAGACTTTGTAATTTTTACAGCGCTTCCAAAAAATTTCCTTGGTGTTGTCAACTTTTGCTCAGCACAAGAAAGAACCATTAATCAAGAGAAGCAAAAGAACTCTATACCTTGACTGGATCAACTCAACCGAATGAGATTTAACTCAATCATAAGAGCCGGTGCTCGAGCAACAACCAAAGCCAACAAAAAGCCAACCAAACCACGAACCAAAACACTAAAACCTTCAACAAGTATATCTGCTACCAGTCTAGAGAACTCACCACTTTTTGGAATAGAAGAAACAGAACCAGAAGCGAATGAAGAATCGAATGATTTTACTGGTCGTGTGCATTCAGAATCATACTCAGCAGAAAATTTAACAGCCGCATTCGATTCATTATTAACCAACAAAGCACAAACTTCTTCAAATCCGATTCCAACAACCACAACAAACGAAAAAGATTTATCAAAACCATTTTCAAGAAATGATAATACACCTCAAACCGAATTCCTAAACCACATTCAAACATCAACTCTTTCAACCATAGAATCATACAGAACCTCAATTCTAAATTCCCTAAAACTAGACGATCAACACGGCAGGATCTACAGTAAGAATGTAAGACAAATGAAAGAAATTTTAGGATTTGAAAAATGGAGAAAGAAACTAGATCTTTTAAATCAAATCGATCATCAAGATCGATCAATCGAAAAGAAAAAGAAATCAAAACCAGAAAGACATCCGATCACAAGAGTCTTATTACCACCTGGTTCATTATCCGTTCGAAAAGCTTTATTTGATAGACCTAGTTTATCAGATCAAGATTTAACGTTTAAAGTTTTGAAAGATCTTTGGAAATTAGATAAATTAGTCGATGCTACGGTTGTGGTAGCTTATTCAGGTGAGCTTTTGGTTCAAAAAAACCCATTTGGAATTTCATCAAATGATTTTTGCTTTAATGTTTCATAGGTCATCCAACGTTAATAGACGAACTCTTAAAATTAAAAAACATTCGAAAAGTAATAGCAATAGAAGAATTACCAGAATATTGTCTAATGTACAACGTGCGTTATTTCAAAAAAAAACATTTCTCTCAAACCTCTCCATGAAATTGAATTTTCCACAATTTTTTGGGTTTTTTGATATAGGAAAGATGGTCAGAAGAAATTAAAGCTAAAAGGTTTTTTCAAATCAAAAATGATGGATATTGGTGGGAATCTTATAGTGAATTAGAAGAAGAAGGTCTATTAGATGATGTAGAAATCGTTCCATGGAATACATGTAAGACTATTCTTTCTTTCTTCTCAAAATCTGAACATCTTTTTTGAAACCAAATATAAGTCCAGCTTTTTTTGAAAAAAAAAACTTTAATTGATCATCTGTTTCTTTTTATACTTTAATTTCCCTTTTATTTGAAAAAACGATCTTGAATATATGATTCAATTCCATCTGTAAGCTCATCCCTCTTTATTTTTCATTTCTCAATTACCTCATACAAAACGTTCTTTACAATTCATTATGCAATTAATTAGTTTTATTCCCAATCGAAATTGGTTATTTCAATATGGTAGATTAAGCCTTGGTTTAATCACCACCAATGATTTATCTGAAGTAAGTTGTTTTTTTAGCTTCATCAACCAAAACAAAACATAAAAGCAAAGCTTGATGAGTTTTTTTGGTTTGTTACCATAGAGATTAACTCGAAAAAGATCAGAAAAAAAGTATACAAGAATGACAGCAACAGCCAATTGTTTAACTCAAATCACTTCCTCATCCAATCTTTCAACCAAAAAATCAATCTCATTAACGCCCAACAAGTTTTTCCCTATCAATCTTTTAACCACTGATAAACTTACCCAACAAACCGATGAAGAAATCACTCCGATCTGTGAAGCCTTATTGATCGAACCTTTACCTGAAGTTTCATTAAGTTCAGAAGAATTTGATTGTATGACATTTCTACAACGACATATGTTTATTCATTCAGCCACAAGTTGGGTGGAAAGTATTAGGTATGTCTCCCACACAAAAGCTTTCCCAAAAAATAATTCAAATACTAATCAAATCATGTGTTTTCTTCTTGTCGGTGTGTGTGTGTTGGATTTGGTTAGTCAATCAGCAGCAGGAGCAAGTATTATGTATGATAAATTAAAAGCTAAAGGTCAAACTATTCCAAAGAGTACAACACCTAGAATGATGACAGGTCAAGAATGGATCAATCTAAGTAAATGTTTTAATGAATGGCCATTTAAACCTAGAGTAAGTAGTTTTCCTGGGTTTGAATTTGATAATTGATGATGAAGCACTAAATCTGATTTTCTTTTTGGGGATAGACTTTCGAGAATGAATTAGAGCTTGCACTTGATGATTCTTATAATGTTTAATGAGGTTTGGTGAATTGATGATTTCGAAGGAATACGATGGAATCCAATTCAATTTGTTAGCCAATTGTAAACTTCTTCCTCGCTAAGAATGCAACATAACTTTTTCTTGTAAAGAACAGATTGATTTACGAGGAAAGTTTTGAATTTTGTTCACCTCTCACAAAGTGCGATCTTTAAAGATCAAATTGAACAGTCCCGTGCGCTATATCCTTGTAATCAATCTAGGTATGCCTCATAAGATTCTTGTCCAAGAGTTCCAAAAGAATTAGATCCATTTGGGTTGATCGAATTCCGTGGAAGTATAAAGTCGATTGGAATAACCTTTCAGCGAAAGGTTTTAAACTTTACAAGGACTTTCTTGAATTGAATTCCAAAGCACAGGTTTCTTTTCGAAACTTTGATCATTCGTATTCGATTGATCAAAAGAATAACCATAAACGAATTTCAAAGGTTTGAGTAATTGACTAGCAACTTGATTAGGATAAGCACCTAACCAAACAAATTGATCTACATCTTCATTAACAGTAGTAGTAGTAGGATGAAGTCTAGGAGATAAAAGATGGATAAGTAAGATCGGTAAACTAGAAGCTTGAGATCTTCTTAAAGCAGGTAAAGTAAACCCACGAGAAGTAAAAAGGATTCCGATCAATCGATCATTCAAATCTTTTTTACTTTTATTAGGTAAGATCAAATTCGATTCTAATTCTCTTATAAACCTTAATTCTCCTAATGAATCTTTACACTGAGCTATAATTCTTAAAGTTCTTTTCGGTTTAGTAATAGATGGTAAAGACCAATTTGATTTAATATCGATACCTTCATCATTTGATGATTTTAATCCAGTATGATAGATTTCTTGGATTCCTTGAAAATGTTGAGTCATGAACTTGATCACATGTTCTTCGTATTGTCTACCTATTGAGGTTCTAAGATGTGGTAATACTGTGGGTGGTTTGGGTTGCTTGTTATGAAGGTATCGTCGGAAGATGGTTTGTTTTTGTTGAAGGAAGTTGAACTTGATCGATGAAAGTTTGGGTGTCATTCTTTTCTTGTTTCTTGTTTTTGATATAAAGTTTGGCAATCGAATTTAAAACTATAACTTGTTTTTACACCTGTATTGTAACGGTTAACCCATGTATCTTGGCTGGCGCGTCTGAAATCAATTATTCAAAATCTCACAACGCGTTCGTTCAAACAAGGTGGGCGTCTTCTAATGGTTAGGAAATCTCGTTGTGGTATCACCTGCCTCAAGCGGTTACAACCCCGTGAAAATATCGGTTCGATTCCGATCGCCCACAGCTACTTAGCTTTTTGGGTGGTGAGGAGATAGACCGGAAGGTTTTGTGAAACCAATCTTGAAGTTTGTTGTAAGAAATTCTTGGATCTTCTCCAGTCTGTCTGTGTGTGTTTTTTGGGCGAGTGCTTGGATGCCAGCTTTTAGAAGTTGATTTTGAAATATGAGATGATGATTTGATTGAGGTTCAGGTTGAGGTTGAGGTTGCTTTTGGGATATATTATCTTGGAGGTTGAGGATGGATGAGAAAGAGATTGAGAAAGCTGAAGCCTGAAGGGTACTTAAGTATATAGCTTAAGGTGTGATGGATATTAGCATATTTGAAGAGTATGCTTAAAAGTGACGCTGAATGACGTCAGATTGGAAAGTTTCATCTTGTTGACTGAACTTGACTGAGGAGCTTGCTCAGTGCTGAGCTGATTTTTAGCAACCAATCCATGACCATTCCAAATGAGATTAACACATCAAAACTTAACATCACATACTATTCTTCATTCAAAGTTCAATTTTAACAATGTACAAAATTATCTAAACTCTCAACAAAACTTGGAGACAAATCAACGGAACTCTGGACAGGATCTTATTCCAGAGCATTCGAAAGATAATGAAGAAACTCAAACTAGACACAAAAAGACTCAGGAAACGAAAAAGAAAGAAACTAGAAACTGTCCACAAGATGGTCCAAGAGCTACTAAGCTATCAGGTTTTGATAATTGGTCAAGTTCAAGTTCGATTCCATTAAAAGCAAGAGTACCTAAATCAAACCAAAGTATCACCAACGAAAAAGTAGAAAATCAAACAAAAGAAAATGGAAAAGGAAAAAATCAAGTTAAGAAAGGAAATGGTGAGAAGATCAAAGTGAGGATCGAAACCACCAAACCAAAAAGTAAACGAAAAAGAGAAGAAGAAGAGATGGTTTTAAAAGAAACTAAAGATTCGATCGTCAATAGAGAAAAAAGTGAGTCAGGTCATCCTTCAAATTGTTGATACATGAGTTGAATTTTATACTTATTCTTTCGGAATCTGATTAGTTTTGAATGAAAGGAAAGAAGCAAGACGAAAGAAAGCAGCAATAGTTCAAGACCAATCAATTCCAATCCACGAGAGACTAAAACGCGATGCGAAATCAAAAGTCGATCCAGAAACCCTAAACCCAAAAAGAAGATCAACTACTTTGAATGCAGCTATCGAAGGTTTAGAATCTATACCCAAATCAAAGACAATCAAACATCAAGGTAGAATCACTGTACGGTATATCTCTTTTCAAAAACCATCTTGAGATAAGATCACTCATCCTGGTGTTTTGATGTTTGGAAATAGATTGGAAGGTCTAATACATTCGGTATCTTTCAGAAAAACGTTTCTAGTTCTAAACTTAAACCAACTCCTCGTAAAGGATCAGGTCAGTAACCAATTTGATTGATCTGAAAACTTATTTCAAAGTTGATGTACTATTGTTTGATTGTCTTGATCACTGACATGTTCAAAAATATTTCCTACAGGTGATTTGGTGTTCAATGAGCTCAAGTTTTTAGATAAGAAAAAACGGATTAGATCAAGTACAAAAAGCCAATCACCAGCAACGGAAAAAAATCTAAATGATAAGCCTCATGACCAAACGTCTGGCAGCGAATCCGACAAAGTGGATTCGCAGAAGAATGATAAAACTAAGAAAACACGAAAAGAAGTTGCTTCTGATTCATCGGTTCGAGAGCCTTGTGCTCAAGAAGATCTTAGGACATCTATTTCGAGTCATTCAGATACCGACAATCAGCATTCGGCAAACTCTTTACGGTTGAGACGTAATGGTAGACTAACCAGTTGTCCATCAGCCTCTTTAGAGGGAACATCTCCTAAGAAAGCCCGGAAAATGTACGATGATCACAAGCAGACATCTCCTGTCAGTTCTCAACATGATCCCAAATCGCCAGATCCACCAGAGATCTCTATACATGATGGAACGGCTCTTGAAGATCCTCTCGTACTGTCAAGACGACCTTCTGGAGGGGATTCTAACTTTAAATCTACACCAGAGCTTCCTCTTCGATCAGTTCCAGTAGACCAGATGAGTAACAATACTCAGACGAACAACTCGCTAGATAGACTGATCATGGCTTGTGAGGCTGATATGCCGGTGATATACGATCATATTACACAGGATCGTTCGTGTCATTCTCATGGTTCTCAGGTAGATTGTCATACATCTTTGTTATCTTTCGAAATGGAAGAGGCAGTCAACGATCCACGATTCATAAGACCTTCGAGTCTTCAATATCAACAAGAGTTTCTTGATGATGATGATGATGAAGCCTATTATACTACGACTGAATTAGCTGAAGGCTTGTTTTTGGAGGATCCAGTCGAGTATATTTACGAAGAAGACTTCTTGTGTTCTCCAGAGATTGATGAAGAATTCGAAGTCGACAGGTATGGCTCCCGACTTGACCATCATTCTTATGGTCCATTGGAATCTGTTGATCATCGAACATATTCGAGATCAAATGCTCCTCAAGCTTTGGAATACCGTGGTTCTCATCAAAAAGACGTCTTTGACTCTCCTGCGGTTGGAGAAGAACTCGATATCCACCTATATGGTTCAGGACCTAGCCGCTATGCCCTACACCACCAAGCAGATTATCTTGACCATCCAGTCGAACCTCTAGAAGACTTTGATTCTCATCTTTTACTTTCACAACCTGATCATCCAGATACATATGAAGATTTACCAGAAACAGATCATACATTCGGGCGATATGAACCAAATCAAGATATGATCGATCAGTCAGACATTTATTTTGATCCAAGTCCAAGTGAAGATCTAAACAACCAGTACTTAGAAATGAGAGAAATGGGAATAATGATGGAATGTGAACGATTACCTTTTAGGAATAGAATTGGTTTTGAAGAAAGTAGGAAACGATTGAAGTTGGATGATGATGATCGATTGAAATTGAAATCGAGGTCAGCTATTGAAGGTGCACCACCTGGATTTGAATGGACTGCCAGTAGGGCTTGAAACAAGATATGGTATGTAAGTAGGATCGTATGAGATCATCCGGATGGTAGAGTTCAAACGATTTGGAAAATATGTTGGAATGCTCAGGATAGAATTCGGGTAAAGTGATGTGGATTTAATTGTTTCATTTCGGCTTTCTTTTTGTAAAACCGGTTTTGCAAGATTTAGAAGACTAAGTCTTCTGCTAAGATTTTGATTTGATGCTGATGATGTGATCAATGGTGTTACCTTTTTCACAAACTTATAAGCGCTTTCAATGTCTCTTTTTATTTTATGTTTAAGACTTGAAATTAAATTATAAATGAGTGTTTGATACAACAACAAAAGGTGGAGAGTACTTGACTAGGGAATTTATTACACTTTTAGGTGAGAGTATGAGTCCACCGCTTCATGAATAGTTTGTAATCAATGATGATGATGATGTTCATAGTCTGCTAAAAAAGAACCAATTTGATTGGAAGATAGGAATGCTTTGACTTCAATGTTTCTTACCTCCGCCCATGAAATTTGGCATACCCCCCCCACCACCACCTCCACCTAATCCTCCCATAAGATTTGGCATTCCTGATCCTCCTCCTCCTCCCATGAGATTTGGCATCCCGCCACCTGATCCACCACCACCACCTCCCATAGGATTTGGCATGCCACCACCACCACCAAGTCCGCCTAACATACCACCTAGTCCACCTCCAGCTCCAGAATCAGCGCCTAGAAATCAATTCACAATGTGTCCAATCAGTCAGCAAGATATAATAAGGATGAATTGAGGAATTGGTTTTTTTTTGAAACAAACCTCCTGTAGGTTTACTATCTGGATTACCAGCTTTAGCACCTTTAAGTTTTTCAACTGCAAATGAGATTGCAGATTTCTCACTTGCTGATCCACCATAACCAAGATGAGGCATCATTGAACCCGAAGTTTGACAAATCATATCACCTGTTACACAACAATCAAAGGTGATTTTTGAAAATTTTGATGGTAAAGTAATACCAGTTGCTGCAGCAATACCTGCTCCACTTTTCTAAATATGTAAAGAAAAATCATTCATTTTAAGCTTAACTCGAAATCTAGATTTGTTTGTGTATATAGAAAACTTACAGCTGAACAAGAGTTTTGAGGAGCTCCTCCTTTGAAGTATGGGTTTCCGTACATTACGATCGCTGCAATAGAAGAAGATGGGAAGTTTGGTTTGGCAGCTAATTGAGTAACTACCATAGCCTAACAAAAATATAACAACAAATCAGTTAATCAATCGTTGTAAAAAACAAACCCGATCAAGAAAAAAAAAAGATATCAACTTAAAGACTTACACCTTCAGAATAACCAATTAAAACGTATAATTGTTTTGGACAACTAGAAACTTGAGAAGAAATATATTTAATTGCATCTCCTGCACCTTGACCTGGTCCGGTTGTATAATCTACTGAAGCAGGATATTTTACTTCATAGTTTCCTCCATCTGGTACAGCTGATAAAACACCTGTTATGAATTTTGCATAACCTGTTGGATGAGCTTGGTTTTCACCTGTACCTCTTGCGCTGAAATGAAGAACATCTTAGATTAGTATGATGAGAGTAAGATTTTTTTACGGGATTGGGATTGGGTTTGATAGAAAGAAGGGGGGAAAATGGAAGGAATTAGATCTTACCTAATGATCTTGTACTTTTTGCAACCTCCACCTCCACTGTTATCGACTGATCCCCCTCCTCCACCCATCAATGCACCTAGATCCGGCATGCCACCACCACCACCACCTGCTTTCTTATCTTTATCTTTACCACCACCCATCAATGCACCTAAATCTGGCATCCCACTGCCACCACCTTTCCCTTTCTTATCTTTATCCTTACCGCCACCACCACCACCTCCTCCTCCTAATCCTCCCATCATGTTACCCATGCCTCCCATACCTCCCATCAAGTCTCCCATGCCTCCCATCATACGTCTTTCGAGTTCTGCTTCTTTGGAAGGAACAGCTAAAATCTTCACCACGATCATCATGTAAATTGAAAATTGAAAAAACATCTTATTGAAAATCTTTTGGTTTTGAATTGTGTTAAGAAAAATCAAAAGAAAAAAGTTCTTGTGTAAAGGTAAGAGAGAGAATCAAAGTCTTGTGAATTTTAAATCTAAATGATCAATTTGAACAACAAAAAAAGTTTTTTTAAATCAAAAAAATTCAAGCAAAACAAAAAAATGAAGTGACGTCAAGTCAAAAAAAACGTCGTCTAAGTTTTTGTTAAAAGGATGGACGAAAAAAAGAATTGAAATGAAATGAATCTGATGGATAGAATGTAATGATTTTGAAGGAAGTGTGATTGACTGATGAGTCACTTTTTTAAGTCGAGTAGAAAAAGAACAAAAGAGAATCAATGCAACTGAGGAGAATGATGGAATAGGTTGAAAGCTTGAAAGAAACGTTAAAGAACCAGAAAAGTCATTCATCTTCTTATGCTTTATCTATGGAGGTTTTTCAAAAAGGGTGTTCAGTGAGAAATATATTCAGTGGATCATAAGAAAGGGTCGGTAATCAGTGCCCCGGATCCTCAAGTGTTAAGTCACTCTACCTATCGGATGAATCAGAAGATATGAATCTGAAAAAAGTTCACTCTGATGATCTAACCGTGGCAAGGATTTCTTAAAGATAAGTTTGAAATGACGTAATTCTTATTGGTAGTACCTTGCGGTAGAAGCACAAAAGATATCTTCTTATAGGGATTGGAAAGGGACAGAATAGCTGAACAGTTTTCCTGAGATGATCTTGTTAAACCTTTAAAAAGTTACACAAACTCGAAATCTTCACGTCAGGGTTAGTGGAACCGATTTCAAGGGTGAATCTAAAAGAACGAATCCCTGTTACTTGAACTTGAACTTACAATCTTCCATTCTCTCGACCACAAAAACGATAAACCCGGAATAGGTTCGATCTTGATTGTCCTGAAAGAAATCATTGACCCTTATCCCTTAAGAAGAACGCTCACATGATCCCCAATACCTTGATACTTACCTATCACCAATCCAAAAACACAACCATTCATCGAGTCTTCCTTCTGTCAGGTATAAAACCCTCGACTTTCGGAATCGAGATCGTCCTTGCACAAGTCTGAGACCTACCCTGAACTTGAAGAATATATACATCGGTAAAAGTTAACTTAAAATAAGAAACTTGAAAAAAGTAGCATGGTGCTCAGTCTAGTAAGACAGTTTGATAAAGGAATTGAAGTCCTTGGTGTGCCAATGAGCGGTTGAGCTTGAATGCCAAATTGGTCTCTAAGCTCTTGGTCTGACTCTCAATAAACAGCCCAATATATAGGGAAAGAAATTTTGCCAATCTCAATCCAAAAGAATGGCACGAGTGCTCCAAGGAATGATGGCGGCTGTGTCACTTCATTTCATTTCCATCGGCCTCCGAGTACCCGAAGTGCACTTGTTCTCGGAACAAGATAGGTCACAGGTGTACAGATCACACCAAGGAATGCTCTGTTGAAACTTTACACTAAAGTACAAATCAACGCCATGCGTATTCAATTATTGCAAACCTAGGCCTAGCTTGTGAAATCATCAAAACACGAATCGTTCAACATAGTGAAAACTTTTGATGTCAAAGATGAAAATAAATGAGTATAGAACAAAGAGATTGCTATGTCAGAGTACAAACCTGATTGTGTAGAGTCATGATAGTAACAAAAATGATAAGTGCTTGCACACGACTAATTGGAATCAACTATTGTAGTCAAGTAGAAATTAAGGTAGACATAAAAATTGGAGAAATATAGTATTCGAAAATCTGACACCAACAAGTACAATGATGAAAGAATCCTGGTCTTCTCTTTTTGTCAGACTCAAGTTGTTACTTCTTCACAAACTAAGCGCTATCTCTTTCGAGGATCTGTCAAAGTGTTTCGCAACAAAAACCCATCAATTTGTAAGACTCGCAAGATCACTCCAAAGTTACAACCAAGTCAAAAAGAAAAAAGACTTTTCTTTTTCTTCGGGAATCAAATTAAGATTACAAATGAGTGTTGATACAGCAGCAATGAAGAGTACTTGACTCTATGTTTTACACTTTCAGACTGGAGTATGAATCTTGAGTTTCATGATTAGTTTGTAAACATGAAGATGGCATACTCCGCCAGAAATAACCAAGGTCCAATTGGAAAACGGAAGGCCTTTTGCTTCAACTCTTCTTACCAGCTCCTCCCATCAAAGCTGACAGACCACCTCCACCTCCACTCCCACCGGCGCCGCCCATGAGGGCTGATAAACCACCACCACTACCACCGCCCATACCACCACCCCCTAGTCCTCCCATCATACTTCCCATTCCACTAGAACCACCAGCGCCTCCACCTCCCAATCCTCCCATGAGACCTGACATGCCACCACCTGAACCTCCTCCTCCGAGTCCTCCCATGAGACTGCTCATACCACCACCACCACTGCTACCACCACCACCGAGACCACCTAACATACCCCCAAGTCCACCCCCAGATCCGGAAGCAGCACCCGAGTCAGCACCTAGAAACAGATTGGGAGGATTTCCATTTTGTTAGCAGGATAGAGAATGAGAGAGAGATTATTGATTGAGTTGAGGTTTAGAACAAACCTGCTGCGGGTGTAGATGCGGAGCTATCTGCACTACCAGGCTTGGCACCTTTAAGTTTTCCGACCGTAAAGTCGATTGCAGCTTTCTCGCTTGCAGACCCACCATAACCAAGATGCGGCATCATGGAACCAGAAGTTTGACAAATCATGTCACCTGTTACACAACAATCGAAAGTGACTGGGGCAAACTTGGCGGGTAAGGTGATTCCGGTCATTGCAGCGATACCCGCTCCACTTTTCTGGAACATTGATAATTTGGATTATAATCAGCTTCGTGTGTTATGAGAAGGATTTGATTCAAAAGAGGAGAGGAAGAAATCTCACAGCTGAACAAGCGTTTTGAGGAGCTCCACCTTTGAAGTAAGGGTTTCCGTACATGACGATTGCTGCGACAGAAGAGGTCGGGATGCTCGGTTTGGCAGCCAACTGGGTGACGACCATAGCCTAAATAATCAAGACTCGAAATCAGTATCATTCAATTTTCAGCAGGAGTGCAGAACGAGAGAGTGAGAATTGTGATTGTAAAAAATGACTTACACCTTCAGAATAACCAATGAATACATATAATTGTTTTGGACAACTTGATTGTTGAGAGGTAATATATTTCAATGCATCGGCGGCACCTTGACCTGGTCCACTCATGTAATCAACTGATGCGGGATATTTCACTTCGTAGTTTCCTCCATCAGGAACAGCGGCCAAGACACTGGAGATGTATTTACGGTATCCTATTGGCGTCGCTTGGGGTTCACCTGTACCTCTTGCGCTACGGAGAAGGAAGGTGAAGAAGGTGAAGGTAATCTGAGGTTATTATCCAGAGTCGTGGTGCTGTTTAATTGGATGAAACATCAAACTGAGAAATTAAAGCTCACCTGATGATCTTATACTTTTTGCAACCCCCGCCTCCACTGTTATCGACTGCACCTCCACCCCCACCGCCCATCATTGCGCCTAAACCTCCCATACCACCAACACCACCGCTACCACCACCTCCCATCATTCCGCCTAATCCTCCCATACCACCACTGCCACCACTGCCACCGCCTCCCATTCCTCCCATCATGCTACCCATTCCTCCCATCATACGTCTTTCAAGTTCCGCTTCTTTAGAAGGGATGGCGAGAATGTTCACCATGATGATCATGTAAATTGAAAGTTGAAAAAACATCACATTGAAAGAATGTGACATCTTGACTGATCTTGCCGAAAAGATGATCAGGTATGGTAAGAAGAATGAGACGAAAAGAAACTGAAGTGTCGGGTTAAATCAGAAGGCCGATTGACAAAAAAAACCAAAACAAAAAGATGACGTCAAGTCAAACAAGCCAAATCAGCTTGAAAGAATGAGAAGAAGAAGAGAAGTAAATCCTGGTTATAAAATTTTGCAAATGGTATGTGATTGACTGATGAGTGACTATTTGATTGACAGTGAAACGAAACCTGGAAAAACAGACAAAAAACAAAAAACTGTCACCACAAGTGAAGAATTGATCGAGCGCTCAAAAGGGGACAGAAAAATGATACAAAGCGAACAAGAAAGCTCTCATCTTTTTGTGCATGAATCAATTTTAACGTCTTGTGATCTGCAAAGGGTGTTCTATGAAATGTATTCAGTTGTTCGTAAGAAAGGGTCGGTAATCAGTGCCCCGGATACCCAAGTTGTGAGTCCCTCCGCTCATTGGAGAAAACAAGATACTCTAACCTGAAGTACCCTTTGATGATCTACCCGTGGCAGAAATCTCTCATGAGTCATTGGTTCTTTTGATTTCGCCAAACCTCTAAAATAGCGTGGTACTTTATGGCGTTACTTTGCGGTAGACTGATGGCCCCAGATCGCCAGTGTCACAGGGCTTGGAAAAATACCCAATCGACCTTGTGTTGAGATGCTGAGGTAGGATTCAAAAGGTCCACATGCTCAAAATGACATGGATAAATCCCTGTTACACCAACTCTCGATATCTTGAAGCTTGACTAAACCCCTCGCGCGGCCTATGACATCCCGTTCTACATATCTTACCCGAAAAATCAACCATGGAACAAGACGATTCGACCTTTCTGAATCGAAGACCACCTCCGCGTTCTGTATACACTGCTTTCATAACAGAAGATATCGAGTAGACCTAAGCTGCTATGAGCAAGTAAAGCCTGCATCTCAAATGCGATCGCTTCCCATTACACTACATACCATTTACACACACATACATCAGGACCCCGGCATGCTCTTATAAGGGGTACAGATCCAAAAATGTGACTTTTGAGCTTGCTCGGAAACTTGTCCCTGGCTTTACCCATAGCTTTAAGACAGGTTTAGTCTTTTCAATCAGCTGTATTGGACTTAGCGACTCTGAAATTCAGGCAGAAACCGGTAAAATCCAAGAGAACGCTGTTTAATCCCATATGTCGTATCTCCGCGCGAGCTCAAAAGTCACAATTCTAGATCTGTACCCTTCATAGGAGCATACCGGGGTCCTCATACATCCCACTACCAGCACAACACTGGTTCAACCTCCGTAGACTCGGTACAAAGGTACCGGTATACGGTCCACCCGCCCGTGAGTGTTGTCGTGCTGCACTAAAAGCAAATACGCAAAGTTAAAGTTACAAGTCAAACTCTCCATCCACCAACAACCCAATTCACCAAAACCGAACCTTGACTCTCTCAATCTCACTACTACACCATGAATATGGCTGCACCCACCATGCCTACCCCGCAACTGTACAACGGGAGCGAACTCGTATCCCGGCTTGAATCAATGGCCGAATTTTTTGACCGTGGTGCTCTGAACGGTCAAAGTCAAAGTACTGATGCTGAACCTACTGGCACACAACAGACCACGACCACATCTCAACCAGCCAAAACTCGCAAACGCCCTGCCATCAAGACGAAGAACAAAAGAAATGCCAAAAAGAACAAGGAAACCAACGACAACCCACCCGAGATCAACGTTGCCAACATCCAAGCCCAGGGCAAGACATCCTTCGAGCTCCGATGTCTAGCTGAAAAGCACGCCCAAACTGGTATGAGTGACGCAGTTTTTGAATCTATATTGAAATTCCACGAAGAAATGGAAACATTAATTGCCATAAAAGCACTGGAGCTTGGGACTACTGTCTCGGTCATTGAAGAGATATTGTAAGTAATTCATCTCACATACTTAACTACCTATTTAATTTACGAAACATCTACTGTATTATGTAGCGGCAAGTACATGGGCGTACGGCGACCATCAGCCTGGAACGGATACCTCCAAAGTGACTTGGCTCGAACCATTTTCAAAGCAGGTTAGTGTTTTTCTCAAGTTTCGAACTTATCTTGTGATCAGTCGAGTAATGATATGTATGAACAAAAGCTGGAGGGATCGCCAGTGGGGAAGCTATGCGATTGTTAAGCGCCAAGTGGACATCCATGGATAAGGCTGAAAAAGACGCTTACAGGAAGGTAGCTGATAACGTCAATGCCGACACCACTAACGACGAGCTGGAGGAATTGGGAATCGGGGCGCAGTCTCGAAATGCAATTCTCCAACCTCGTACCACGGTTATAACTAACCCTCGATGCCTCAAGCAATACAAAGTCACCGCCAAACGTCTTTTGGATCAAACTCTCGCCAAGGTAAGTGTTTAGTTTGGGACGGCTTAAACCACATACACAACACATACATTGACAATCAGTTCTCATTTGACACAGTGTGCTCCCATTGCAAGAGCTAACTGTTTTGAGATGGTCATCATAGCAATCTCAACCCATGTCGCCAGAAATTCATTCCAGCTCACCAGGAACACTATCGGCGTCGACAAAGCCCTCAATATTATATACAAGAACCAAGGTGCCGATGCGTTACCTGTGCAGCTGCAGGCATACATGGTGGGTAGTACACCTCAAAAGCTCACGATGGACCTACAAGGTCAGTTTGTATTGTAAGTATCTATCCTTCCGAGATGTCAGTGACTGATGTCTCTTCTTTCATCAAAGATTCGGGCCGACGATTCCAATCTCGCGTAGTCAACGCACTGTCAGCATTCTTATGTAAGTCTTATATCCTAGACTCTCAATATCAATACTCCGTGTATTCTGATCATACTTCCATTGTCATGTAGATGAAACCACAAAATTGAAACATTGGCCTTGGACCAAATGTGATGCGACCCTTGCCGCAGCCGGATATGAATTGAAACTATTACCGGGTGCTCGATCCGTTGCGGAGACCTTCAAGACGTGCAGCAAGCACCTCAATCAAGCTACGCTGGTTGCCCTCAACGAAGATTTGAAGGATCACCTAATTCAGCTAGTGCGGATTCAACGGCCACAAGAAAATGATATCAATACTAGACACGATCAAACTCCTCATGTTGATACTGATAGACTCAACGCAACTCAAAACGATATCGGGAGTATTACGAGTAATACACACAACCAAACTCAACCAACCACTACCAGTTTCAATCGTGCCAATACCAATATCATGGAGCCTCGAGTCATAGACCCATTGTTGTTCTAAATTACAATAGCATCTCATCTTATTTTGTTTGTAAAAGATTTACATATTGTCTTTTCCTATCTTGGTTTCCTTCTTTTCAACACCAATAACTGCTTATCCCCGAAATGCACATGTTGAACCTTCTTCAATCTGATACATTGATATTCATTTCGATCCGCTACATGGATATTTATATCTATATTGAAGTCCCGAGTCCAAATCAACTGTCGTCGAAGACATTAATTGCCACCACCCTAAAAAGGGTTTGCCAAATTGATCTTCATGCATCCTGCTGACTTGCTATGTATGTGAAAGTATGCCATCATAGCTGAAGGCGTCGCGTCAACAAGCACAACAAGCACTTTGTCATCAATCCCCTTCTTGCTGCATCCAAACACCTCCGATTTTGGAAAAGGTAAACCTTTTTACCCAGCTTTCAACTATATAAGCTCGAGAGAATGAGGCCCTTCCATCATCCATAACTCACCTTCCATCCCTGCTTCGTTTCTTGTTCTTCGTTTCTTGTTTTATTCGTTCGATTGTCTGAATATCACATATTCTTTACGTTTTAGTTTCTGATCGTTACCTTTACACTCCGCTTCATTATATTGTCACTTCACTGTTTGTTCTTAGTGTCTGATTATTTCCTCTTTATTGTATTCTATCAATTAGTCCAATAGTCTACATCAAGTTCAGTATACTATCATAAACTCAAGTCTCCTTAATCGCTATCGCCATTGATCGATCATGGTTACTCAAAGATTCTCGGTTCCCTTTTCTTTGTCACCTTTTCTATCCCCGAACCCAAGCAGTCCCACCGCGACGGAGCCATTTATTCAACAGGCCACCGGAAACACCCCTCATCCTAGTTCCTCCCCACCTATCTCATCTCCAATCGGACTCACACCAACTGTCCGATCTCAGTACCCGTACTATCCTAGTTTATCACCGGGCGAAGACGCCAGACCAAGAAACACCGACCAACCACGCCAGCAATCTCTTAATCGAGCTATACCAAGGCTAGATTGTAACTTACCTGAAGTCAAGCAGTGGGTCAATCAGTGCTATCATTGTGGTCAACTCGGCCATCTCATGCATGCGTGCCCTCGAAAGCACTTACCTCGAATTGCCGAACATGAGTACGACTGGCGCTACGTCAAGTATGATAACTTCACTCCAGCAACCAAGTTGTATAGTGTGATGGCTTTATGGCCAAAAAGCCAACCTCTCGCGCCTCGCACTGTGTAAGTACGGTCATATTGTTATAAGACTTTGTTTTTGTTTTAATTATCGTTGACATTATCGATCAATCGATCTGAATAAACAGAACCACCGAAGCCAGCCAATCGACGAGTATCTTATCCACCGCATCACAGGCCTCTTCTTTGACCCTTTTGGCTGATGAAGAAATGGACACAGACGGACCTCCAGTCATACCTTTTTCCACCCATCCAACCTACATACACACGGGTACTACCTCCTTTTGAAAGGGTTTGACTCGATCGAGATCGTGCTCCTTCATGGACATGCATTACATGAACAACTGCCGATGTAGTGTTGAAGCTCACGGCGACGCTTGCTTATGTAAGTTTACACCACCTTCTTTCGAGCTGAGTATTGCACTGGTTGACTTTTCTTTTGACAATCATCAGATAGAGATGATTGATCAATCTTTCGATCCACTTTTGTGTCGATTCTATAAAACGATGTTTCCTTTCATTGATGTTTATGCAAAAATCTTTCCTTTCATTGATCTTCCTTGTTATTGTCTTCCAACTTGTGTCTGAAACTTGTAATTGTTATCTTATACAGTCATCAGTTTGAGAAGATCAAACTTTTGATATTACATTGATTATGTTTATCGCTCAATTGTTTTCTTTTTTTCTGCTCAAACTTTTTGTTGTTTTCTGTCTGTCTATCATCTACTTGTACTTCAAGGTTTTATCGTTTTTTTTTTCTTGTCAATGTTCTTATGGTTTTGATTTCTGTCTATGATCTACCTGTAGTTATTCTGTGAGTAATGTAAGGTTCTATCGGGGTCAGACTCGTAGCTAGCTTTTGTGGAGGAGTGAGTTTTTCGCGCCCTAAATGTGTGCCCACAGTGACCATATTATAGTATATGGAAGCATAAGGTTTGCCCATTATTTTAGTACAATAAATTTCTCTAAAGTACACTTATGGTGTAACTTGGAGAAATTTTGGGATTGACCTAGATTGCCTCTTGGGTCAAGTTACCACACATTTTTCACCCCCTAACAGTGTGACAGTGGGGACCATATTATATCAGATGAAAGCTTGAGAGCATCTCATTTATTTGGTACCATCACTTCCAGTCTGGTACATATGTAGTGGAATGTATAGTAAATTCGATTTTTATTGGTAAAATAGCATTTTGGGAGGCGTATGAGTGTTTATACACCTAAAAGTGTGCCAACAGTTACCAAATTGTATCAAATGGAAGCTTGAACCTTGCTTTTTAATTTGGTACTACCATCAACTTGATAGTGCTCTGGATGCAAAAGTTATAGCAGTTTTGAGGATGATCGGGAGATAGTATTTCGGGAAAGGTGCGTGTGAGTATTTCACCATCATAAAGTGTGACAAAAGGGACCATATTGTATCATATGAAAGCCTTAGTCTTTGTTAACAATTTAGTACATTTACTTCCAGTATACTCCACATGTTGTGGAAGTTATACCAAATTCGATTTTTATTGGTAAAATAGCCATTTGCGTGTTGTAAGGGGATCATACTGACACTTGTGAGTGGTAGTAGGGTGTGAGTAATGGCATTTCTGAATGCCCTAACCTTACTGATCAAAATGATACCATCTTTTTGGTATTTGGATGTGATTTGTAAAAGTCATAAACAAATGTTGTTTTTGGGTACATGGCAAGTCATGAGTGTGTATCAGAAATGACCACATGTTGAAGGAAATACTTGTGGGTGGAAATACCATGGAAGTAATAACATTTCTGAATTCCCTAACCTTACTGATCAAAATGATACCATCTTTTTGGTATTTGGATGTGATTTGTAAAAGTCATAAACAAATGTTGTTTTTGGTTACACTACAAGTCATGAGTGTGTATCAGAAATGACCACATGTTGAAGGAAATACTTGTGGGTGGAAATACCATGGAAGTAATAACATTTCTGAATGCCCTAACCTTACTGATCAAAATGATACCATCTTTTTGGTATTTGGACATGATTTGTAAAAGTCATAAACAAATGTTGTTTTTGGTTACACTGCAAGTCATGAGTGTGTATCAGAAATGACCACATGTTGAAGGAAATACTTGTGGGTGGAAATACCATGGATGCAATAGCATTTCTGAATGCCCTAACCTTACTGATCAAAATGATACCATCTTTTTGGTATTTGGACATGATTTGTAAAACTCATAAACAAATGTTGTTTTTGGTTACACGGCAAGTCATGAGTGTATACCAGAAATGCCCATGTTGAATAAACCTTTACAAATACGGTCCAAATACCAAAAAGATGGTATCTTTTTAATCAGCAAGGTTAGGGCATTCAGAAATGTTATTACTCGCACCCTACTACCACTCACAAGAGTCAGTATGATCCCCTTACAACACGCAAATGGCTATTTTACCGATAAAAATCGAATTTGGTATAACTTCCACAACATGTGGAGTATACTGGAAGTAAATGTACCAAATTGTTAACAAAGACTAAGGCTTTCATATGATACAATATGGTCCCTGTTGTCACACTTTATGATGGTGAAATACTCACACGCACCTTTCCCGAAATACTATCTCCCGATCATCCTCAAAACTGCTATAACTTTTGCATCCAGAGCACTATCAAGTTGATGGTAGTACCAAATTAAAAAGCAAGGTTCAAGCTTCCATTTGATACAATTTGGTAACTGTTGGCACACTTTTAGCGTGTATAAACACTCATACGCCTCCCAAAATGCTATTTTACCAATAAAAATCGAATTTACTATACATTCCACTACATATGTACCAGACTGGAAGTGATGGTACCAAATAAATGAGATGCTCTCAAGCTTTCATCTGATATAATATGGTCCCCACTGTCACACTGTTAGGGGGTGAAAAATGTGTGGTAACTTGACCCACTGCAGTACTGATTCCTACCTATGTACATACCAACTTTTCCTGTGGTGGATTAATGTCTTCCAAAATTCACTCTCACACTCATTGAAAAAAAAAGTTTCACATGATTGTACACTGAGAGGATAATATATATTGCATGACAAATGAAAAGATCATAAAATCTAAAATTACAACTAGTCATATTCAAGACCAACATTTTGCATCATGTTGGTGAGCATTCCTGCATCAATCCTATTCTCCCATTCTGCATCATCAATATCATCTTCATCAATCATAAACAGTGTGTTAGCACCTGGTACATCCTCTTCTCTTTGGCCTTCAATCTCATCAGGCCTTTCTTGCTGTCCGACCTCAATCTCATCTGGTAATTCTTGCTGTGGATGCACAACATCGTCAGGTATTTCTTGCTGTCGATCCAGAATATCATCAGGTAATTCTTGCTGTCGGTCCACCATTAGTTCATCCCTTTCTTGTTGTCGCTCTTCATCAAGCCTGATTGGTTCAAAAAGATGCTCGAAGTCGCCGTGTCTGCTTGAACCACAACCTGACGCGCGCAGATGAGCAATTCTATTATGCTGTGTTTTCCACAACGTCATCAGTTCCAGATCCCCGAGCTGAGGAGATGTATTCATTATCACCTCCATCACCTTGTCGTCCCAATACAGCGCCAATGTGCTCATCTTGACAAATGAATTATGAAGTAGTCCCTTGATGGCTTGAATTCGACCCGCAGTTGATAATAATTGAAGGATCTCGTGGTTCATGAATGATTGGAGCAATTCACTATCAGGATGAACATCGTCTTTGAGGTGATTGAGAATGACCCAGAGACGGTCGTGTTCCTGCGTGGCCCATTGCATTGATCTTCGAACTTCCCATCCAAGCCGGCGAATTTCCTCATGACCCCTTCGAACTCGCGCCAACGCACGCATTCCCATTTGTGTACGGGATCAACAGCCCACGGCTCACTAGAGTGTGGAACAC